TTCAACGCTGTGAACGACAAAGGCCACAATAAAGCAACAAGAATGACAGTTCCTTGGGAAATTTCCCTTCGCTCTTTCCCTGGTGTTCAGAGGGCCGCTTAGGAGAAAAGAACTACGGATCTGTGTTCCAAGCACGTACCCCTATACTGGACAAAAACCATTTCGAGATAGTACTATTTGGCAAGCGCCAGTCAGAATGCAAAGAAGCATGACCTTAAAGGGCGAACCAAGCACGCCCCTGCAGCGCCAATCTCCACAGCGCCACGTAACTGTGGTGCTGACAATGCTTACGATACCATGCACTTTCTTCAGCACATAGTTCGGAGAACCGCATTTGTTGCCCAACTTGGCGTTGTTTCAAGGGTAGGATTAACGCGAGCTTCTTGGTATGACACTGTTCAACGCTGTGAACGACAAAGGCCACAATAAAGCAACAAGAATGACAGTTCCTTGGGAAATTTCCCTTCGCTCTTTCCCTGGTGTTCAGAGGGCCGCTTAGGAGAAAAGAACTACGGATCTGTGTTCCAAGCACGTACCCCTATACTGGACAAAAACCATTTCGAGAACTGGGCATGTTCCCAAAGGCTTTCCTTTACGATGCGGTGTAGTGAGTGTGCTATCCAACCAGTCAAAAACGATCAGGTCATCTGAAGTATAACTAAGGGTTTCACTGACTTATAAAATTCCTCCTTATTTAGCGGTTACCTCCAGGTTACAGATGCCATTGGTGCTGCAAAAAAGACTGTTCAGTGCGATCAAAGACTGAACTGTGAACGAAATGTTTCCGCACTCTGAGGCCTAGTTTTGGCTTACCTCGTCGGCTTTTCGGTAGTATGTAGGAAATAGGCGACCTTTCCTAAAGCTTAATCATGCTTACCCTTGCCACTGAGACTTAATAAAACATGAATCAGCATTCGCGTCGCCACATTGTAGAAGGATGAGTTTGAGAGAGCCAGTTTTGTGTGATGAACCGAGGTTTTCCCCATAACAAAATGCCGGTATGGGACGAGTTTTTGGACGAGAAAGTAATATACATTTATTTTTCTGGCGATTGCAGCGTCACTCCAGCAAAGTTTGAGCGAACTAATACTAGCACGAATTGAGCGTGTAAAAACAGACTGCGAAGCTAGTTATGTACTAGCGTCTTAGACCTTCCTTGAGCAAGGGAAAGGCTCGCAAGGGAAATTTCACACCACTCAAGACTGTCTTTCTGAATAAAAAAATGAATATCTTCGAAGAAAAGTACGCCATCTTGAAAAGAAATTGCTATCCTCCTTTTTTTTCTCACGTGATCTGGGAGAAGCAGCATATGCGTCAACCTTGATGAACGCTGCTATCGCGAGCACTACATATTAAGACATCTTGGATCAGGATTCCAATCAAACCTAAAGGAATCCTTCTCGGAAAAATCGTGATTCTATCCCACCCATAATTCACTGGTTTGGAATCGTTTACGATATGGACGAAAAGGACAAAAAATCGTATTTATTTTAGTAAAAAAAATCCGAAAAACCAATGTCTACGTCGAATGCTGTTCAAAGTACTGCAGAACATCTGTCACAAATGCTGGTGAACAATCCAATGATTCAGGAGGAATTCCATACAGGGTCACTTGCTCAAAAATGCTTAGAGGAATCCTTCGCGGAAAATTCTTGCATTCTTTCTTGACATGAATGTGTCAGTTGTGATCACTGGAAACAGCACACAAAGTTTCACGCATGAAGATTCGGTTTCCGAAGAGAAACAAACGTACAAAAACTACACTCTATGGACAATCGAAGGTAATTCGGGCGGAGCCAAAGGCGAGGCATGGAAAGAAGTTGGCCTTTGGCCGGCTACGTATCAGGCGACGCAATGAAAGAATCGGGTTAAAGCGCGCGATTTCGGAGAGTAGAGACAAATCGATCGATAGAATAGGATGGAGTAGAAGTGTAAGATGTGAATGCAATAAAGCAGAAGGCCAGAAAGAGTTTCTAGTGAAGGCACTCCAAGAACCAAGTGGAAGCATCCCCGTCGCCAGCATTTGTGAAAGACGTCCGTGGGCACTTTGAACGCGTAGCAGCCCTTTCGATTTTTCGAATTTCTAATCAAAACGAAAGCAATACTTCTTATACGAAGTTATACGACTCATAG